TAGTTCTGATTTTTAATTGCATCTATTCAAGAGTGAGCAGTTATATGATTGGTATCTTCTGGTTGTATGTGTATTTTCTAGGCTATGTGAGCAGTCACTAGTTTGTCTATATAAACCCAAACTCATTACCATTTTGTATCAATCATTTTTGGAGTTAAGACATGCATTAGTACATGATATTTCGGCATTAAGACAGTCTACATTGGGAGAGTTTGCAGTATATTTTCTGGTTCGTTGGACGAGTAGATTAGAGTGCTACTTCTATTTGCATAAAAATCATTGTATCCTGTGAGGCAAACGCTTTGATCTACTGTTGCGTACCTGTAATTGTTTTAACTACAATTCCTGTTCTACAAATGGGTCAGTTTATCCATCGTTTAAATTACAGATTTACCGTGTTATTGTTTTGTTCATATCTGTAACTGTTGTGTACTTGTAATTGTTTTTTCTTCCCTATTACTGTTTATTCTAATTGGATGCTTCAAATCATAAATTTCAATAAGTTTACTATATTTGGTATGCCAAAATCAACAGGTGTCTGCATTGGGGAGTGGCGTGAGATGAGGTAGGTTGTGGGTAATGATGGGTGGTGGCGACAATGGCAGGTGGCAGTAATGATGGTGGTGGTAGTGTGTGGTAATGGTAAGAGATGGTGGTGGTCGTAGCAACTGACAGTTGGTGTGTGGTGGCAGTGGTCAAGAGTGGTGGTGATAAATGTAAAAATGATATATGTTTTGTGTAGAAGTGTTTTTAGGGATGTAGAAATTATGTTTTTATTATTTTTGCTTCTAGCTAGTTATTCACTTATTTAAGTGCTAAAATTACTTTTAACTAATTTGAAAGTAGTTTGATTAAGTTATTCCAAATACTCTTTAAAACAAAATTCTTATGAGAAGTATAAGTACTAAAAATACTTTTTTATTGGTTGTTGAAAGTTGTTCTGTTTTTTTATGATGGTTATTGCTTGATGCTGGTTTTTGTAGTTTGCTGGCTTTTTTTGTTGATGGCTTTTGCCATGATGCCTGTGTTGCTGCTTTGTTTCTGGATGGTGCTTGTCCCCATACCATTTTGCCTTTTCTATGGGGATAGAGGGTTTTCTTTTCTCATATTCAGAAGCTCAGTCATCCTTTTTGAAATCTCTCTCGTACATGAACCTATTTTCTATTTTTAATGAAATTCTTCTTATTTACTAGGAAAAAGTATTTTTTTTAAGTCATCTTATTTATCTATTCTGCTTATAAATGTTAGAATATGTGAAAAAATTTTAATTTTTAATTTTAATTTTATTTAATAATGTTAAGTCAATCATACCCCACATATCAACCGGGGTGGCCACCTCAAAAACTTTTTGTTTTGTACCTCGTAAAGCACTTGTGATATCGTAGTGTTCAGGGGTGTGAACTACCGTGGAGCATATTTCAGTTGTAGCTCCTTTTTAGGGAACAATCTCCATCTCTCCTTGGAGATTTTTCTTGGCTTTTGTCGTTCCTGAGACTTTGATCTCTTCTATTCTCCTTCTCTTTATGAGTTGTGGAGCTTCTAGTTTTTGGGAGGAAAGCCACCTCGTCATTTATATATTTCTCTGCTTTTGCCAACATCTTAGTGATACTGGCTTGAGGATTCTTGATAATTGAGAACATCAGATCCTTCATTGTACTCCTAATCCGGCGATAAAGGCTATGTGGTCAAATTTCTCATCGAGGACGTCCACTTTTAGAGATTTCGAGTTAAACCTATGGACGTACTGAACCAAACCAAGGCCGAGCCCTTCAAAGTGATTGCAAAAGCTCAGCAACACGCTAGATTGTGGTATCCATGCAGTTCCATTTGATTTTTGTAGCTGTTTAGGTGGTTCATAGGATCCTTCACCCCGTTAAATGTCTCAATCTAGGGCATTTTGATTTTTAGGGAAGAGAAAAATGTAGCACCTTGGGGGTACTCTATTTGCTGAATCAAAACAACCAGGGTCATTGGGGGTTTTTCTCTTCACTGCCTCTTTCATGTGGTTGAGCTTTTGTTGGATTTCTTTGAAATGCCGCTGCCAGAATTGATCCCTCCCATTTTGTTGCAAAGGATTTGAGAGGCGTTCGTTTCTAGGAACTCTTCTGTTTTGACTCTAGATCTAATCTTCCTCATCATTTCTTTAGGCTTAGCGGTGAACATTGTCAACCGAGTGACTGAGCTCATTTTCTTCCGTAACCTCCCTTATGCGATTCTAATGACGACATTCCATTTTGTGGGAGATCATCTTAGGCTGATTGTGCCTCCTAGAAATACTAGGCACGAATGAGATTTAATAGAGCCTCGTTTTGCTGGAGAAGGCGATTGTTGGCTTGACATAGTGCCTCGAGTTCGTTGTTTGGAGGAGTATTTTTCATTGGCAGATTGACTTTCGGGTTTGGCAAAGAATTCATGGGAATTCTCTATTGTCCCCCGATGGTGTTTTCCTATTTGTTTTGTAAACATAAGGGATTCACCTGATTTGTGCTCATGTTGTGCGCAAAGACCATCAATTACTGAATGGATAAGTAGAATTTTAGCAGGATTTGAAAACTATAGTTTCCACAAATGGCGCCACCTAATGATGTGTTTTGTGCAGTTGAGTAGAGGTGAATTTAGAGATTTTGTTGTGGGCGTTAATGGAGATTACTAGGATGTCCTGTCAGAGCTTTTAGGCTCTTGGGGGTTCATCTATTGATTTAGGATGATAACAAAGAACAAAAGTAAATACACAAAGAATTTATAGTGGTTCATCAGCTTGAAAGTTTGGTTAGTCCACACTAATGGAGTCTCTTGTTCCTGAAAAAAGTTTCTATTAATTGGGACGAAGAGATTACAGAATTGCCCAGAATAATAGCACATATGCTCGCTTCAATCCTGGTGGGAGGGATTTGATCCCTATTTATAGTTGATGGTGTCTTGCATGATCTCCGCGATCCTCCTGTAACCAATGCCCTCCTAGCATAATTAACGTGATCTCCCTTGAGGCTGTTGCGACCCATGTGTCATAATATTTGGCCGTTGAGGGTTACATTCTCTAAGCATGATGTGGCTTTCTGAAAGATGCCAAATGCATGTTGTTGTCATGGTGTACACGAGGGTCATGTTTCTGGAGATTCTCAACTTGCACACATCAAGCTAACTATCATTAGTTGAGAGTTCCGAGCTTAGATGTCTAAACTAAGAGTGCCGAGCTTAGCCTTAACTAATTTTTGGTATCATCAACTTTCTTAGGCAATAAATTGTTATCAGGAGAAGTTCTCGGAGTTTTGATCCCTGCAGTTCAATTACTAGCTTAGCAAATTGGTTACTTATGATAAATGGTACTTCGGTTTAGGCCAGAGGGGTAGTTTGGTGGATCTATGTAATAACCTAGTCATCTTCCTGTACGACTAGCAACTAGCTGAACCCACCCAGCTCGCCAATCAACTATAGAAGCTGGGTCACATGTCGGATAGTTGGTTAATTAACGGGTTAATGGGTTGGGTTAGCCAAGAAAACATCTAAAGCATTATGTGGTCAGCTAATTCTATCAACAAACCAATTATCAATTGATCCAAATCCAATTGAAACACTCTAATTCAAATTTAAATAATAAAGTACAATACAATTCAAATTTCAAAAGATAAACAAAATGACTTTTACTATTCGCGATTAAGATCGCTTTAAATTTTATTTTAAAATTAATCTATTAGCTAATATTAACACTTCAAATTTAATAAAAAAAATAGATCTCTAAAAATGTGTTTGAAGTGACTATTTAAAAATATTTATAGGAATTATTTTTTCATAAGTATTTCAAAATAAAAAAATAGTGTTTTAAACTACTCTATAACTACCTCTAACACCACACCCCTAGGCTCCACCACCACTGCCACCACCATCGTTGCAGCCGCCACCATCACTATCGCCACCCTACCATATCCACCACTACTACGGTCACTGCCACCACCTTACCACCACCATCACCACTTTCATTGCCCCACCACCACCACCGCCCACCACTACCACCATCATCACTACCATTATCACCATCGTCCCACCCTCACCACCACTTCCACTACCCCACCACCACCGCTGTCGCACCTAACCACCATCGCTATTGTCCCACCATCACCCCTATCACCCTTCCACCCCTACTGCCCCACCACCGCCTCATGAGCATCACAACTATCACCACTATCGCCAACCCACCACTACCACCCACACCATCGCCACTACCCCACCTCCACCCCCCACCCTCACTGCCCTACCGCCACCACCACCAGTATCGCACTAATTGCTACTATCGTCGTCCATGGTCATCACCCACTACGGTCGTCATCTTATTCTTATATTTATTACTACTACCACCATCATCCCACTATCACTGTCGCCCACTATCGGCACGCACCACTATCCATCGTCGCCCACTATCGGCACCAACCACTGCCACCTATTCTACCACACTTATCACCACTAACCACCACCATCTGTCATCATCCACCATTGTAGTCACCCACTGTTACCTACCCCCACCACACTTACCAATGATGTCATTCGCCGCCACCCATCACACAGTTGTTTAGAAACACTTATCGTTGCCCATAACCACCAACACTACTGCCTGTCACCACCGTCGTCGTCCCACCACCACCACTGTCAACCACTATCACCGTCGTTCACCACCACCCACACCCACCACCACCACCACTATTGCCACCCATGGTTGCTGCTACCATCATCGTCACTCAAAATCCACCGCCATCATCGCCATTGTCACCCACGACAGCTATCACCACCACGGTCGTCGCCTTGCCCACCACAACGCTCATCATCTTGCACCATCACCACTGTCGCCCACCACCACTACCACTACTCACCCCTACTACAATTGGTGTTTAAATTTTGTTATCTCTCATCTATGTTTGTAATTTGATTTTGGAGGAAATGAGACGGTCCACCTGTCTTTACTCATACGAGAAATCACTCACTGACGGACAAGAGGTTGACAACGTGAGCTTTATTTCCGACAAGGATGTGGGCCAAGGTGACATGCATTACCTATACATCACCGACTTCACACGAGGATAATATCGGATTCTTAAGGATACAAATATGTTGACCATTTTTTTTTAAGGCACGAGAAATAACTAGTTTTATTCGAATGGAGTTTACTTTTAAAGACTTATTCGAATTCCTTAAAAATTAAAAAATCTGTTTCATTCCAAATCTCTCCATTAAAGACCGCGGATAGAATTCTCTAAGCGATTGAATCAACCAAGATGTTGACAAGACAACTACTAAGAGCCCAACCGATGAGCTCCACCGATGAGCTATCCTGGCTAACGAGTAGGCCCGGTCCAGCTGGTGGCGAGCCCTGAATTCAAAGACCATCAAACATAGAGGAGGATTTGAGGGGTGGAGAGGTAAACGGGCCCTTGGTCAAGCCCGTGGCGATGTACCGGTAAGCCGCCTCCGTCAAGTGGACTCCATCCCAATTGGCATAAGTTGAGGGATCCATGCATGGTTTCGAACCAGTGTGACCACACCTTGCTGAGTTATTAAAATTGTACGGTCCACCTCCTCCACAACAAGCCTTTAAGCCCCCATAAAATCCTGCAAAATAACATGAATAAGTGCAAATATTAGATGTTCTGGTTTTAATTTCAGTACAAATAATAGATGGTAGGCGACTTTCTGGTTTTTTTAACTCTTATGGTCCGCATAGGGTAGATGAAAAAATTAAAGGATATATGAAAAATATATGTGATACACTTTCTATTCTTGAGGGAGGAATCTTTCTTCCCTCTTTTGTGTTTGGTAAAAGGGATAGAAATTAAAAAGAATTGATTTTTTTGTATTTAATATGTTAGAAAAAGTATTTTTCATATTTTATTTTTTTGAATATTTTACTATATATATATATATATATATATATATATATATATATATATATAAGAAATTAATATATACATAATATGTAATTAATAAATATGCTATGTATATATTCAAGGATATATAAATAAATAATATACATTTCAATACACATAATTAACTTTTTCATCCATTTTTCTCTTAATTTTGGAGAGATTGATTTTTATGAGTTAAAAGGAGAGCTAATCTATCAACTTTTTCATCATTCTTATTTTTCCTTCCTTACCAAACATCATATTTTATGTATCCTTCTAACTTTTTATCCTTCCAACTTTTCTTCCTTCTATTTTTTTCATCGTAACAAACGAAGTATTAGAGAAAGCATAGTAAACAGTGACAAACCCAGCTTGAGACCAGGGAGACATGTTCCCTCCTGTATTTTTCTTCTAGGTTTCGTGGGTTTTCCTAAGCATTTAACATTCTATTTAGCCCCTAGCCCCGTTTCGCGGGGTTAATATTTTTACTTGCATCACTAGTCATAAACATAAGACGTCTTATATATATGAAGAAAAAATAATTTATGGTAGTGAGATCCCTTCTATTACATTTTTTCTTTAATTCACTTGTTGACAAATCACGCATCACTCATTCAAGTAGAATCCATTATATGTAAGTGGATTCCTTACTAATTAATGATGATTAATCCGTCAAGAAGGAAATTGAAAAGAACGAGAGATCGCCAAGTTTCTCTGGTGTCCATCATGTTTGACCTTTTCAAGTAATGAAAATTCAAAAGATGAGTTATTAATATAAGGTCCTAAATAGAATAATTAATGGGATTGTGATACACTTATATTGCTCACAGTTGCTCAATCTCCATCAATCATGTTCACATGGAATTCGGTGACCCATTCTGTCCTACTTATTAAACATTATCATAAAGCCTGATAGAATGTGCATTAAATATCCAGGAAGCCACATAAGGTTACATTATTTAACCTAGGATCAAAATTTTACTTTAAAACGGTAGAAATAATAGAAACATTTTTGTTTTCATGAGGTTTGAAAAAAAAAAAAAACATTGATGGACTCTAATTTCTAATGTTTCAAGGTGTTTTAAAATATTTTAAGGTTTTTTTGAGATATTTCGACAGTCAAAGGAAAGATTGATTTGGAAATATATAATTGGTATGATTAAGATGGTCTATGGCCTTATATCATCTTATTTCATAACGGGAAATCATTTCAACTATATATTTTTGGGCTCGTGTCTCATGTATAAACTCACGCAATCTTATATCATGATATAATACTAATTATGATAACACTTTAATATCATGTTTTACTTAAACTCACCGTGATGTTTTGGCAAGTGAACTAATTGCTTTGCAGCACCATAGTAGTCAGCGTAAATGATCCTTGTATGAGGGTACTTCTTTCTCAATTTTTCCAGAGCAAGTTTGAGCTGAGCATTGTGATACTTAGAGAATGCATTGTATGCCTTTAGACACCCATTTTGATCATATGCTGCTTTGTTTGGAGTTTGAAACAATGTCAGGTACACCGCGGAGCACCCGATCGGAAAATTTCCCGGCACCACCAGCTCCACTGCTCCTTCCTCTATCAACATCTATGAGAGATTAAAGTAGAAAACAAGCACTCTTATTTATCAGAATGTTACAACTTTGAAGAACAATTATATACACATGCACTATAAGACATTTATTTCAAAATCAGCAGCACGACTGAAATTCGAAAATAACACTGTCAACTCACATGGATATAATAAATGGGTTAAGATTTTGTCAAACGTTAATACCTGTTTAACTAATATTATACAAAGAAAATGGATGCTTCATTATTATTTTTTGATTTAGCATTATAAGAATCGTGTTTTTTTTATATTAACGAGTAAGGTGATTCAGTAGTGTACCAGCCGAACTTTTTACCCAAAGGTTGGACATTGGAGTTTAGTGCTACGCTAGCCTAACTAGACTTGTTCCCCAGAGGTGTAAAGGGCACGGCTAGAAGCCTCATGATTGCATCAATGAAGGTCTATCGCTGGAAGCTCTCTTTTATCCAGACCCTTTTTTTAATGAGAAAAAAAAAAAGAATCTTTTTATGATTATGCGATTTTTTGTTAGGTTTGGTCAAGATGTGAATCTAAGTAAATTTGTAGTTTATAGGACCTTTTATGCAGTGGATATGATTCAAAAGGGATTGCAGTTCTACTGCTTCTAGTTCACCGATTACTCAAATATGACATGATCAAAAAATAACGTGTTCCAGACATTAATGTTTAGAATGCTACACAAAAGAAGGACATAATAACTACTTACGCTTGTGGCTGCAGCAATTGTTTCAACCACCAAAGGTACCACGGCTTTAAGTTCTGTAATGGTGCTACCGAGGAAGAACGGGTAGTTATAGTCATTACCCCCGATCTCTCCCATGAGAAAGAGCGATCCCTTGAAGTAGTTGTCACAGTCTGTGATAAAAATAAGTATTTAGTTTTCAAGAGTGAGTTAATTTGACAAATAAGGGTATGCAACTCATGTAGGTTGACTGTATTGAGAGGTCAACTCGTGGTAAATACAATTTATACAATTCTAGCCAAAGTTTTATCCAAAGCTCGATAAAACTCGAACCCTTGATCACCTCGAGTATTGTCTATATTTACATTCTTGTACTCTGGCAATGTTACTCAAATTGAAATAGAATTCTTTGATTATATAACTCAAGTTGTAATTCGGGTATAACTAAGGTTGGATCCCAACAACCTGCTTTTGATTGGATTGAAGAGGGAATTAGTCGAGGTGTACGTAAACTGGTCCAGACACTCTTGACTGTTGAACATAATATATATATATTAGGGAGGGAGAGAGAGAGTGAAATTTGTGTATGCTACCATACCTTGTTTAGTGGTGCAAAGGGTGGACTTTAGTTTCTTGAACCAACCAAGTTGAATGCTCAAGGAGTCATTAGTCCATAGAAAATTTCCAATATTTTTGTCATAGAAAAATTTTGAATCAAGTGCAGTAGCTCCAGCTACAGCAAAATTCACTCCATGCTGGACTTTTTGGCCTTCAGTGAGTGCCAGATAGGGTGGCACAAATTGTAGTCCATATGCCTCAGCTACATTTTAATAATCAGCACCAAACTTATACTTCTTAGTATATATCAATGCAGATTATGTAAATTGAACTTATACAGATTATAAGGTAAGAGATGGAGAAGTTAGAGGGGTACCAATGAAGTCGATCACTAGGCGTCCATCCGAGCACCGGCCAGTCGCGTGTCCAAAGAATGTCTCCCCATATGGGAGGTTTCCAATGACTGGAAATGCGAGGGCGCCAGAGAGAAGGAAATTTCCAGTATCGGCAAGTGAGTCACCGAAGCTGAAAATGGAATCGTATGGTACATGACTAGTTGAAACTGTCCAGAAGAAACAAACAGCAAGGAGGAGAAGAAATCTCATGGTCAATGTCATGGTCTGGGAGAGAGAGAGATGAACTCTATATTTCTAGTGTTTGTGGAAGTAAAATAGCTATCTGTCTATTGATGCTGAGCAGTTGGAGACTTAAATATAAAAGCAACCTCCCAACTGAATTTTGCTGCTCTTTTTATTATGACTAAAATGGTTTGGATGAAATGAAATGAAAATAAGGCAACTTGGTGGGGCTTGACTTCATATGGCATTGTGTAGAGCCCCTCCCCTTGCTGATGCAGAGATTCTGCATGAAGCTGAAAATTTGACTGTGACATTGCATGAATTAATTTTCCCAAAAAAGGGTACCCCCACTGCGCAGTTATTATATCACAGATAACAGAAGAATACATTAAAGACTTCGATCGCCAAGAGCGTTACTATAATAATGACAAATTTTAAGAATATTACTCTTACACTCAAACATCCCTTCTTCTGATTTTGAGCAAAACTAATCTTAAATTCAAACAACTCTATGTCCTTCACATCTATTTCTTCTTCTTCTTCTCTCTCTCTCTCTCTCTCACACACACACACACACAAGTTATCCGCACAACTCACCATCACCATGCACTCTGTTTCACCAATTGGATGTTAATTAGTTAAAAATTGAATGTCAATTCAATCAAAATGAAGGCTAGCTTGGTGTTAAATTTGTCGAAACTGAATATTAAATTGAATATTATTTTGATGAAATAAAATATTAAATTGATTAATTAAAGGTTAATTTAATAGAAGTTAATGTTAATTTGATGAAATTGAAGGTAAATTTGATATTACTTTCACGAAATTAAATTTTAAATTGATGAAATAATGTTAATTTGGAGTAAATTGATATGAAATGTATATTTAATTTGATGAAATTAAATATTAATTTGATACAATTAAATGTTTAATTAATGAAATAAAATGTTCATTTGATAGAATTGAATGTTAATTTTTATAAAATTGAAGCTTAATTTTGATAAACTTAAATTTTGACTGAATAAAATTTAATGTTAATTTGATGCTGACATCTACTAGCACCATCCGCCACAACACATATTTCATTAATTGAATGATAATTTGTTGAAATTAAATATTAATTTAGTATTAATTTAATAAAATTCATGTTAATTTGATATTGACTTGATGAAATTAAAGGATAATTTTATGTTAATTTGACAAAATTAAATCTGAAATTGATAATTTGATAATATTAAATTGAAAGTTAGTCAAGATTATATATGGGTATATATATACAAAACGTATATGTTGATCATATACACAAGAAGGGGGAATAAATGAGTGAAAATGACATTCTATTAAGTGTATTTTGGTAGAAATTTAATTTCTATACAAAATCTAATAGGGGTGAAAGTGATATTTCAAAAATTAAAGAGATATCCCGGTAGTTAAGTCGTTTTTTCAAGGGTGTTAGTTAAATTTACCCTTGACTAAATTATTCCACAAATTTTTATTTTTTTTTAATCTTTCTCGTACTAAATTGGGTGGGTGGTCAGGTGTAACAAGATGGATTGGGGATAAACTCTTTATTAGTTCTAATAAAATCAGAGACATATATTTCAGGTCACTGTTTCTATTTATGTATTCTAATTATAGAAGTAATTAAGGTGCATAAACGTAATTTTACAACATTGTCATGAATTTATTTTGGTGGTTGAGCAGTGTGAGTCAATGTCAACTAGATGATTGTCATCTTTCAATAAATTAATTTTACTTATATCATAACGCTTTCAATCACCTTCCTTCTCTCTTTTATTGGTAAGAGTGTTGATAGCTTAGCAATAATTTAAGGACATTTCCATTGTCGGTGGCGGTGGTGGCGGTGGTGGTGGTGGTGGTGGTGGTGGNAAATTGAATATTATTTTGATGAAATAAAATATTAAATTGATTAATTAAAGGTTAATTTAATAGAAGTTAATGTTAATTTGATGAAATTGAAGGTAAATTTGATATTACTTTCACGAAATTAAATTTTAAATTGATGAAATAATGTTAATTTGGAGTAAATTGATATGAAATGTATATTTAATTTGATGAAATTAAATATTAATTTGATACAATTAAATGTTTAATTAATGAAATAAAATGTTCATTTGATAGAATTGAATGTTAATTTTTATAAAATTGAAGCTTAATTTTGATAAACTTAAATTTTGACTGAATAAAATTTAATGTTAATTTGATGCTGACATCTACTAGCACCATCCGCCACAACACATATTTCATTAATTGAATGATAATTTGTTGAAATTAAATATTAATTTAGTATTAATTTAATAAAATTCATGTTAATTTGATATTGACTTGATGAAATTAAAGGATAATTTTATGTTAATTTGACAAAATTAAATCTGAAATTGATAATTTGATAATATTAAATTGAAAGTTAGTCAAGATTATATATGGGTATATATATACAAAACGTATATGTTGATCATATACACAAGAAGGGGGAATAAATGAGTGAAAATGACATTCTATTAAGTGTATTTTGGTAGAAATTTAATTTCTATACAAAATCTAATAGGGGTGAAAGTGATATTTCAAAAATTAAAGAGATATCCCGGTAGTTAAGTCGTTTTTTCAAGGGTGTTAGTTAAATTTACCCTTGACTAAATTATTCCACAAATTTTTATTTTTTTTTAATCTTTCTCGTACTAAATTGGGTGGGTGGTCAGGTGTAACAAGATGGATTGGGGATAAACTCTTTATTAGTTCTAATAAAATCAGAGACATATATTTCAGGTCACTGTTTCTATTTATGTATTCTAATTATAGAAGTAATTAAGGTGCATAAACGTAATTTTACAACATTGTCATGAATTTATTTTGGTGGTTGAGCAGTGTGAGTCAATGTCAACTAGATGATTGTCATCTTTCAATAAATTAATTTTACTTATATCATAACGCTTTCAATCACCTTCCTTCTCTCTTTTATTGGTAAGAGTGTTGATAGCTTAGCAATAATTTAAGGACATTTCCATTGTCGGTGGCGGTGGTGGCGGTGGTGGTGGTGGTGGTGGTGGTGGTCACATTCATGATCTACGAATTCAGCCACAAGTACTACCACTGCTAGTACAACTGCTAATTTTACTCTAAGTTTGAAGTACTATCATTGACTAAAAGCATTTTTAAGGGAATGATTCAAACTTTAAAATAGTTAAAACTTAGTTATTCAAAGAGAAAATTCATTCTCCAATAGAAGATATCAAGAATAGGTAAAATACAATTTTAATATAGTGATATTCTATATTTAGATTATTACTGTAGTATTATGTATAAATAATTTATAATATATTCTGTTTTCTCTTTGTTGTTTTCTATCTCGCTTGTCTACACTTTATTTTTTCCTTCATTCTTTCTCTCTCTCCTTCTAATATTTCTAATAAAGGTATAAAATATGAGAAATAATATTTAAAAAGAGAAGTTAAAATATAAAAAATTTCTTGTTAGAGATGTTTTATCGGATAAATTTTACTGACATTTCTTAAAAAATGACCTAATTATAACGAATTTTCCTCTAATTTTTAAAATATCACTGTAATTCCTTCTAGTTTATATATTCGTTTCATATACAACCTCTACCGTATGAGACGTTCTTGACAATGTGGAAAAAGTAATGATGTCATAAAAAATATCTCTTTAAATGATAACTATCCCTTTTAATCTCTCCCGGTCTCTCTCACTTGGCCACCCTAAAGTCAGCAGCACAGCTCACCATCACTATGCACTCTCTTTCATCAATTGAATATTAAGTAATTGAAAATTGAATGTGAATTCGATAAGAGTAAAGGTTAGGTTGGGGTTAATTATATGAAACTAAATATTAAATTAATAGAATTGAATATTATTTTGATGAAATAAAATATTAAATTGATAGATTCAATTTTTAATTTAATATGTTAAGAATGTTACTTTGGAGTTAATTTGATAATAAAATTTAATGTTAATTTGATTAAATTTAATAGTAATTAAATAAAAGTAGGTATTAATTTGATATAATTTAGTGTTTCATTGATGAAATTGAATGTTCATTTGGTACAGTTGAATGTTAATTTTGATGAAATTGAAGCTTAATTTTGATTGTTAAAATAATAATTTTTTTCTAATTAATTCAAAACGTGAAAAGAGAAGTTTAAAAAAAAGCACAATTTGATAAAAAAAATTTACATTGGTTGTATTCATAGATTAATTTTTAATTTGTTAATTTATGTAATTACTAGTCATTGCTTGTGCCTGAAGGTCCAGAATAATAAAAAATGGTAAACAGTAAATATATTTGTATTCATATCTAAAATCAAATCATAAATATAGAGGAGAGATAAATAAATTTAAGCATCGGTTGTAGTGGGGGGTGAGAAGTGGTGGGCAGCAATGGTGGTAGTAGGAGACGGTGATGGTTGTGGTGGGTGGCAATGACTGTGATGGAGGTGGTGGTGGTAGTGGTAGAGGTAGTGGTGGTGGGGATGATGGTAGTAGAGGTAATGGTGGGGCGGTTCCAATTTTTTTTTTTTTTAAATACTTATGAGAAATAATTCTTAGAAATACTTTTAAAAAATCACTCCAAATACACCCTTAGGGGTCTATTCTTCCTATTAAATTTAGGGTGTTAATATTAGCCGTTAGATTAAGTTTAAAATAAAATTTAAAGCGATTTGAATCGCGAAAAATAAAAGTCAATTTATTTATCTTTTGAAATTTGAATTATAAGCTACTTTATATATAATTATATGTCTTTATGATTGAGATTTGACATTCCAGTGAGTCAAAATTTATATGCTTAAGAAAGTTAAATATAAGAAAAAAAAAAAGATTTGTAAGATTTATTATTTCTATAAGTCTTTATTGCTAATTACAAGTTTTGGGTGATATGCACTAATTAGAAAAAAAAAAATTCTTTAGGTCCTAATAACAAATATTATTGATAAAAATATAATTGTTGTGTTGATGGGAAGGATAAAATTGAAAGAAAACATACTATCGATGGAATATAGGACTTCTTGGGAATTCTTTTAAGGTAAATATGATAGCACTT